CTTCGAGATTAAGTGCACCTCCTGTTAGCAACTGTGTGCATGTGTGGTAAGCTTTAGAAGGACAGACCCACAGAATATGCTTGGCCTGTGATGTCCCTAGATGAGCTAGTGTTACATGACGCTACCAATGGACTAATTTAGTTTTTTAATTTAAAAAAGTTCCTCTGTGTCCCAAAACTAACTGACTTTGAATCAAGTCTAAGCATTAAATCTAGGAAGATTTTATGTACTGCCTTCATTTCTTACTAATATGCATTAACATAATTGTACCTGATAAAACTATTCTTTCTTAAGCCCAAAACAGTCGTGAACAGGATTACTTCCTCACTACCAAATATTTTAATAAAATAAAAATCTGACCTATGAAGTAAGACAACAGCATACTTTATTATTTCACAGTTTTGACTTTCATGGAATAAGAACTTAATGACAATAATGAGGCAAATTCTCTTATTAAATATCCCTAGATTTGTCCTTTGATCCAAGTTTACTTCTTGAATTTCATGACAAAACAGTGTCATAGTTTCTATAATATTCATGTTTCTATGCATCCTTCAGAAAGCTTGGTAAATGAAGTTGTTGAGTAGCTGTGTGCTCGCTTGCACCGACACCCCGCCTGCCCATGTCCTGTGCGAGGGCCGGGTGCAGCATCTCTTAAGCATCTCTATAGTTGCAGTCCACGCGTGCGTGCAGCCGGACGCCATGCTCAGTCGTGCTCACGTGGGCTCTGCCTTCCACATCTCACTTGCTCTCTGTCTTGAGTAGTATAAACTGAGTAACCTGTTCTTTCTTGAAGCTTTGCATAAATGTTTCATGTCAGATGTTTTATTTCTCTCAAGCTTCTTGGTGATTGGTTGGTTAATTATTTCTTAACCTTCTTAAAATATTCCCTGGAAATGTATTTTGTATTGGTACAAATTACATCTTTTATATTATTGAGAAAACTCAGTCCAAGAAAATATTCAGGGGTTGAAACAGTCCCATTTTTACTTAGTAATACTAACTGGACTTCTCAGTGTGTTTAATAGAAAATCAGGAGAATTTTATATCACATTGTTTAAACTTTCATCTCTTAAAAATTCCTAATTTATTTTTATGAGATTTAAGTTGAAAGGAAGCATTAAATTAATCTTCCCAATTTAAAAGCCAGTTAATGAATTTGGTATATCTTAAATAAAAATATGCCACCATGCTGGGAAAGTGAGAAGGAAATAGTCCAAACATGTTGGGCCTCAAGAAATTAAAATTGGAATAAAAAGATAGAAGATTTGTAAATGTAATTTGCCTTTTTTATTTACAAAACGTGACATATTTTAAATTTCAAACACTTAAGAACGAAGACTACACCACACCAATGTAAGAGCCTTTTATATAACTTATTACAATGTGCTCTAGCCTGCCAGCGAACTCCTAAAACTCCTGGACACTGGCTCTCCTCTCTGCTGGCTTCTCTCCTAGTCATGTCTTGGCTGCCATCCAGAGCTGACAACTCTCACCCAGGAGCAGAGGGAGATTTGTCTGCTGTAAGAAGGATTTTTGAGTCATCCTTGATTTTCATATCCAGATGGGCGAGGAGGTGGGGCGGCGGGACCTTTGTGCACACTAGGGTGACGTCGTGAAGCCACGCGTACACGAGGATGTTAATTTACTCTGCTGATGTGTTCTGATGTCTGTAGGTGCTCTTAATGAGACACTGAAATAGAATGACTTCCAAACTCACAAAAATTATGTTCCAACTTAGATTTGAGCAGTCGATGCACAAATTCATGTAATTCTCCATGTGCAGCTATATACCAAGGACCCCAAGGCTTGGACCTCTTTGTTATCCATATAAAAACTCTTAGAATCTGCTTGGGTGAAAATGTAGGAGTTACACTTTCGAGCCTCCAGTCTGATGCTAAAGCTCGCTGTACACTGCTGGTTATATTATGACAATTTCTAATCCACAGTGTTTTTCTGCTAAAGTGAATTGTGATTATTATGCTTTTAAGGGTTTCCTGAAGATGTTAATTTTAGATTCTCTTAGGTAAATTGACTTTCACTTATCTAAAGAGCCATTTAGTATTAATATTATGATTTGAAAGACCTACCTTCTGACAAGAATGGTTTTAAGGTAAGGTTACATCAACAGATTGTATCCCTTGTGAATCTTGGACATGCAGAAGTAATGTGTGACATGTATTCCACATTAAGAAAATGTACTCTTATGTGCCCAAATACATTCTGTGCTTTTATAAATAACCATAAAACTGAATGAATTTATTATTAGATATGACTCTTACACAAGTGCCATTGTGTCTCCTTCTGTAGATTTTTTCAGCTGCCTGTACGGCTTTCACAGTTAAGCCGGTTGGCAATGCCATATGAAGTAGTCTGCAGAGTGGCTGTGCGGAGAGCGGCAGGGTCACTGTGATGTGCAGCCTGCAGTACTGTGCTTTTACGGTGACAGTAGCAGGACGACACGTTTATCCTTGCTTGAAATTGTCACAGAAGCTTTAAAAGTAGTTAGTGGGGGCTGGGGAGATGGCTCAGTGGAATAAGCGCTTCCCCTGGTAAGCGCAAGGGCCTGAGTTCAATCCCTGGTTCCGCAAAAAAAAAAAGTTAGTGGGAGATAGTTCAGCAGCATCAGTGCCTGCCTGGCAAGTGCAAGGTCCTGAGTTCAATCCCCCATACCAAAACACAAAACAAAAAAACACTTAAAAATAGTTTACAATTAATAGCTATGATAGAAACCTATAAAACTTAGAAATATAATAAATATTTCAATGAGTTTCTTAGAAATCTTGAAATACAAGCTGTGCATGCCTTTTATATTTGAAATTAATTAGTTTTCCTCTTTAAAATATTCTAAAAAGTACCTTTAAAAGACCTATAAGGTTGATAATATGGCTTCTTAGTTAAGTTTATTATTAGCTTACTAATGGTTCACTATTAAGATTAAATGAAGGGAGTCAATGCCAAGTTAGCCATTTAAATACCTGTCATCACGCTTACATATAACTAGAATGGAAATCCATCTCATTCCCACATCTTACAGTTTCTGCTCGTCTAAGTGAGAAGGTGCTCGCCTATAGTAGTGAGATCTTGTATAGTTGCCTTCTATCACCAGTGCCTTTTATCACGTTAGATTCAGATATTTAGATGCAAAATGCCTTTCACTGTGTTAGATTCAGATAGAGAGGATTAGTCTTGTCTTTACAGATAAAAGTAAGTCTGACCTTTTGGTTGAGAAATATTGTCAGTAGCCTTTGTAAGTGCTTGCTCATCTGACGGTCCGTGACAGGAGAACTCTTCCCACTTGAGTTGAAACTGAAAATGAAATGATGCGTGCCTGCTGGTTGTGGTCCAAGATTCTCCTCCAGGGGGGACCACATGGTTTGCTCCGTCTCCCACTTGTTCTCACCCTCTCTTACCAGCCTAGCCGCACCCCACCCCCACCCCAACATTGTTCAGTCCCCAGCACAATGAATCATTTTCAAGTTGACTCTTTGTGAACTGTCTCCCAGCTGTTGGAATGTCTGGCAGACATTTTTGTTTGGGTGAAGAATAACTGGCTGAAGCCCAACCTGGATGAGTTTGATATAATGGTCTCTGGCTAGAGAAATATTGAGAGGAACGTGTTTATGGCCTCTGAGCCCCTGTTATTCCAGGAGGAGGACTATCCCCTGTGGCACAGAACTGAAAGGAATCAATCTGGATTATTTTCTCACCATTGAATGAAAAATTGCCTATGGAAAAATAGACATTTCCAAGTGAGGTTTGCTTTCTACGCTTGGTGTGCTTACGTGATTGAGAGTATCAGAGACAGTTAAGGGAAATCACTTGTACCGGCCCTTCTCAGAAGCAGGGACTCAAAGGCGCACGCATCCCTCCGCGCGGACGGGCTCGCCAGGGGCTGGAGGCCCCTCCGCCTGCATCCCACTGTCGTGCTCCTTCCTCCTCAGTGCTCCGCACCGGGCGCGGGAGGGGGAGGAGCTGGCTCGCTCCCCCGCAGAGCCCTAGCTCTCTGCAGCCTCCTTGCTGCCGGAAGCCAGCGCATCCAATGATGCGTTTTCCTAGTTCACATTTCCTGCCCTTTTCTTCAAAGATTACACTGGTGGACGTTGCTGATGTCCAAAAAGGGAGCTTCATGATCACAATAGCTTACGAACTCTAAGTCTTTAGGATGAAAGGCTTTCGATGGCATCACTACACGTAATCACGGTTTCCAGATGTACTGCCCCGCGAGGGATCAGAGGGAACACTCCAGTGTCATTAAATAATTGCAAAACCAGCAGAGTAGCTGATGATTCCATGCGTATAGCCAAGAATTGCTGGGTATTTCAGGAGGGTTGTTAATGACTGGACATACTGTTCAGTGGAATTTGGATTCTTCTGGATCGTGTCAGGAAGGAGAGGGCAGGCTGCTGGCTGGGTGTCACCTACCTACCACCTTCCCTTGGCCTTTATTGTTAGTGCAGAGCCACATGGCGGTGTCTAGAGAGAAAGCAGAGGGACGTGAGCACGGGCGCAGCCTGTGGCGGGCCCTCCTGTGTCTCCAGCCTGCTACAGAGGCCCTCGGCTGTTACTGGGCTCAGACCCGGTCTCAGATGACCAGTGCCCATGTGGTCCTTGCCTCACACTTTACATCGTGCTGTCTACTGCTTTGAATCCTGTTGCCTGCAGGAATTTCCAGTGGGTGGTGGGTGAAGTAATTTGAAAAATAATAGGATGCAAAAGTAGAGATAGCCTTGCCTCGGAAGACAAATGAAGAAAGTTGTTTTCTACCAACTTACGTTTTCCCCTCAGCTCTTTGATTAGAGTAGCAGACATATGTGGCTTGGAATTTTCACTTAAGAACATATTTTGTCCAATTTTCAACCAGTAGCAGCTTTAATTTTTCTGAGTTATTTCTCCATCCTGATAATCTACCCCCACTATAATTTGGCATCAAGATGGCATAGTGGCACTGTTTAGATGTTATATTTTAAATAAAAGTGTTTCATTTCTGTGTTTTGCAGAATAAAGCAATTACTGCTCGTGTCACCAACTTGTCAGATACGGTAGTGGCCTTGGAATCGTTTGTTGGTTTGCAGAGAGAAATCAACCCTCTCTACAAGGATTATCATGGTAAGCAGCGCCTTGGGCAGGGGAGGCTGGGCCTGGCGGCATGGGCCATCCCTTCTGGGTGGCACCTGGGTCAGGCGGCATGAATTGTACCTCGTCGTAGAGCGGTGCAGTGCGCTCCATCCCTAGCTGGCCTTGCTGGCAGCCGATCCTCAGGCTGTGCCAATGGAGAGGAGCAGGCCCAAGGTCTAGCGCACGGCTCAGGCCGCTGCTGGTTATCCTAGTTACTGAACGTTGCCACGCGCTCCGTGGTGCTTTCCAAGCTTTGCTGGACATGAGTAATGTACACGGAGTATCCCTAGTCCGGCAGATCTGGACTCCGAAATGCTTAGAATTCAGGGGCCCTTGGCTCCCAGACGAAGCCACCCACAGCTGTACTCCGCAGGCTCAGCTTGGAGCTCGCAGCGCCTGTGCGTCCCTGCCTGGGGCGCACGGGGAGCTCCCCAGGCACATCACGCAAGTTCCTGGGCTCTGGGCCTCCTGTCTGGTGCGTGCTGCACTCAGGAGTGGCGCATGCTGGCACACGCCCTGCCACTGACGGCTGCTCCACCCCTGCGTTTCAAGCTGTTCGTGTTACTTTGGCCATTTGGTTAGTTGGAGGTTTTTGAAATAATTTTTTCACAGAAGCATTTGAACTGTAAGTTCAGTAGTATTGCATATGCATTTGATCTAAATTTCATAGTGAATATACTGAATAACAAATTCTGACCTATTTATGGACCTAAAATAAAATTTGTTATTGCTTTTATTATTGTAGAATTATTGTACTTCCATAGAAACTTCTAAAGACTCAGTAGCTTCTCTGAATTCTGCTACTAGGGTTTTGTGAGTCTGTAGAAGTAATTTTATTGGCTCACATATTAAAATATACAGAAAAATTATTGAAGAGTGTACTTAACCAGTGCATTGAATTTTAAAAATAAAAGAGCAGTCAGGACTGTTTTTAAAAGCTGGAACCTGTAAACTGGGAGCAGAGGCCCTGGACAATAACGTGTCTCGTGCGTGTTCCCGTGCTTCACGTGCGCACCGCCTGTTCCTGTTAATCCCACAGGTGAGGCGTGCGCTGTGTCATTTTGTAATTAGATCTATTGAGATTTGAATATTTTCAAATTTGTTCTTGTTCTTTTAATGCAATCCCAGCTGATAAATTGGATTACATATTATAATAATCATTTATAAGTATTATGTTATACATCATCATTTATAAGTACAATAATGATTAGCTTATTGACTTAGTGAAACTATATTTTACATTCTGGAAACTGTTATTTTGATGAGACCCTTTCGAAAGCTAAATGGCTGTGAATCTTCGTACTGCAGTCTCTGTCTGAGCTGGTCGGGTGTTTCCCACAGAGTCCTGAGCAGTTCTGATGAGCAGTAGACCTGCTGTTACTAGGAAGGCCTTGCCAGGAGTGATTAACGCATCCTCTCAGCCTCCTGACTTCGCAGCTGAACGTGCACCCGCCAGGCTGAAGTGCGAGGTGCCTTGTGTGCTTATTTGTAAGAAGTACTTTCCCAGGTAGCTACATGTAGGGGTTTTAGTTTGTAGCTAGAAATGACTTTTTTAACAGCACCCAAGTGAGGCGCCCGGAAGTGCACTCGCTAAATGGGAGCAGCCCCCATAAGGCTAAGCTTGCGTCTCATGCAGCATCCAGAGGGTCCCTGGCCCCGGGGTGCTCTGCCGGTGCTGGTCCCCTGTCCTGGAGCGGTGGCTTCCACGCAGAAGGCAGTTGCCTCTAGTGGGGAGGAGCACAGCCTGCTGCCCAAGACTGTGGGAAATGCCCCTCATTCCGTCAGAAGCCACCGGTGCCCTTGTCAGCAGGAATTAGCAGGCACTGCCCGAAAGGAGGCCAGGCTTGCGGTTTACCTAGCGCGTGCACAAAGCCTGCAGGCCCATGAGGTCGGTGTCCAGGCGTGGGAATGAGTGTCTCCCACACCCTGGGGTCCGCACTGCCCCTGCGTGCTCCGAGGTGCAGCCTTCCTCCGTGGCGTGCCCACTCGTTAGTAAGGCCCGGGATGCAGTTCTTTCCATGAGAGCTTCACTGCTGATCAGTAACCCATGAGCCTTGTTTTGCTGGCTGCTTACTGGTGCATTTAATAAAATAAAGATCGCTCAGTGGTGCCGTGGGCAGCGTGCAAGGTGATAGCCATATTTGCTTACTGTAAATACAAGGGAAAATCACACACAAACCAGCTGTAGTTTTGACAAGAACTAAGATCCCTCTTTACATCTGTACTTGTGTACTGAAGTGCAATTAGTTTTCCTCGCACAAGGATTTCTGTTTATCTTATTCTGCCTGATTACTTGAGTATAATCACACCATTTGCCTCGCTGCTCCTGTAGTAAGCCCCGGTTTTAAAGGGAGATGCCTGCGTGTAAGCATACTGGATCCTACCATAAGATTTTAATTTATGCATCTGATGACAGCATTAAATTTTTCTTCTTTTAATTTTCTCTCTGCAAGGTTTGATTCATATTCGGCAGATTCCTCGGCTTAATAACTTGATTTGTGATGAATCAGATGTCAAAGACTTAGCTTTTAAGTTAAAAAGGAAACTATTCACCATTGAGGTAAGGGAATTTTTATGTTGTAGTTTATAGTCTTGAGGGAAATGCTTTCTCCTCCTTTCCTTTCACTTTTCCGTTAATGCAAGTCTCATGACATGTTTTGTGCTAAATATTATATTCTCTTGCTGTAACACACAGATCGGCGTTCACTCTCCTTCCCCTATGTTAGTGGTTTATCACTAGAGAGTAGCAAAAATAGTTTTAGAATTATTCTAAATGTCTGTTAAAAATGAGTTCTGAACTTACCTGATGAATGTGACATGCATGTTCTCCAGACTTTGAGAAGCATGTTTAATTGAATGTTAATGAACTGAGCTTATTTGAGTGTGGAATGCCTGTGCTGCCCACCGTGGTGTGTGGCTGGGAACAAGAGCTTGTGATCCATGCCCTGAAAGTGGCTTGCTTTCCTACCCGTGAAATCCCCTTTCCCAGTACATGCTAAATTGAACAAGTACAACTTACACTAGTGGCTGTAAGGAAATTTTCTACAATACGGCAACTTTTTTCTGACTGTTATACAAGCAGCAATGACAGAAAGTAGTAGTACAAAAGATTCATTTCAACCTAATCTTGCTGAAGAGCAAATGAACATTGAACTATTAAGCAATTAGAGTTGATATATTTATTAATGAAGTAAATGTTCGGAGAGATGGCTTTTCGCTGATGTGATAGTTATCAGTATAGTCGGCACAACTTTTTTTTTTAACAAAGACATAAAGCAGCCAAGCAGCCTTGACAAACCATTTTGTTTAATCTCTTTTCAAATGAAAAGCTCTTAAGCAGGCCACTTGTCTTAACTGCTTGAAACCATAAAAAGAGAGAATTGCCACCAATAAATTAGCATATTTTTAACTTCATCACCAAATGATGGTCAATGCGGCTTGGCACGGCTTTGGTGTTCGGGACTTCACCCTTAAGTGACCACTTTGGCCCCTTTTTGACCCTCTGCCCTCTCTAAGCTAGCCACTTGATGAGGTGACTTAGTGGTCCTCTCTCTTTCTCTCCTTCCCTTCACAGTTGCGACTAGCACTAACCTATAAATCATTGGAAGGGCCCTATCTAGTGACAAATTAATGTGCCCTCCTCCTAATTAATGGTCATCAATGCTCTTAATTATCTGATCCTATTGAGAGCAGTTAATAGTTAATCAGGCAGCCAGCTCTTCAAGCAGGCCGTCTCCACGGGAGTGTCAGAAGTTGCTCATCTGGGGATACTCCCTCTGAAAGCCACTGGACACCAGAAGAGCCAGAGAAATAGGGATTCTTGAGCTAATTTAGTTCTCAAAAGAAACCATTGAAATAGAACCCAGCACTGTGATGGTTCCAGCGGTGTTTTGGCTCTTCTGAGGATACTGAGGGATTTCCTGTCGTGTTGTTTAAGACTTTTAGAAGGATACAGCTCTAATTCTCAGTTCCAAGGAAGGCTTCCTCAGCATTTCCTCTTACACTGAATTTTCAGTTTAGATGCAGGATGTCAGTCCTTTTCCTCCATGAGGCACCATTCACTCCAAATTAGCATTCTGATGGCCAAGTCTGTCTGAGGTATGATTTCTGTTACCACGCAAAGCAAGGCCGTTCCACAGTGGGAAAAATGTATTGTGCCCGAAGAAGAAAGCAGTACAACAGTGTGAACCGTGTTTATGGTCACGTTCTCTTTCATCAGGTCCTATTGGGGGGCTGGGGGAGGGGCGGGGGCTGGAGCAGCCTCGCAGTCTCAGCAGAGCCCTCTCCTGTAGGGCTGAAGGGTCTAGGCTGCTGTGCAGTAGGTTCCCAGGGTGCTGTGGGGAGGCCTCTCCTAGCCATGCAGGCTTCTCGTAGACTTCATGCACTTGGTTGCCGTGTGGTTTGGAAGCAGTATTTGAAAACAGAATAAAAATAAGCAGCTGCTGTTCAAGAAGCTAATATCTAGTACACAGTTGATCAGATCCTTCGCCTTTTGCCTTATGACCTACCCAACAAAGACTTATTTTTAAACTAGAAATACAGGTATAACCCATTCTAAAATGTATTTTCTTATGCTGTAATAGTAAATTTGGTATTAGGAAAGTACCAATTAAGGAATCAAATGTAATCTCTAATAACAGCTGTCTGTACTATACAAGCACGTAGAGCCACATAGAACTATTATTAGAACAGAAGACAGTCGTGTGGTCATCTGAGATGAAACGTTTTCAGGATGGCACTATGTCTTCTTAAGTGCATATCCAAAGAGAAAGCAAGTCTTCAGTGACGTAAACCTGAAGCCAGAGGAGCAATGACCTGAAAGTGATTCGTCCACGAAGTCCTTTGCTGCGCGGGTGCCTTGCAGGCGCCAGCATTTCAGTATGAGCAATGAGTGTGTTTTTGGTGGACTTGTACTTTTTGAGTAAAATTGTACTCAGCTATCCTGTGAGGTTCTGGAGCGTAGCACATCAGGAGCGAATCTGAGACCTCAGAAGATTCTGAGCTGGCAGGGGACAGAAGTGTTCAGACGGTGTGTGGGCAGATGCATCCGGGGTCCCGCTTTGTTCACAGTCCTTTGGTCCATGTCTAAGCTGTGGTAACTGCTTAAAACCTGCATTGTTTTACTTTCTATTATTTTTGCTTTTTCATGGTGGAATTTTCACTATAGTTCTTTTCTTTACATTGTAATCTTGTTGAAATTATAGTACCAAACAATAAGCAAGTAGGATTTTGTAGGGTTTAAAATATGGATGCATTTATTTTGGTGGCATAAAAGCAGCATTTTTACTAGCGTTTAATATTAACGACATTAGTTACTACAAACAGGGTTTCCATGTTTTGTGGGACAGTTCTTCAGCCCCAAGATTCAGTGTAACAATGCAGATGAGAGCAGGTAACTGGGTTACATTCAGCAGAATAAAAGACATGTGCTGAAAGCTTCCTCTCCAAGGGTGCAGACAGTTATACAGGCTATCATTGGTCCAAAAGTGATGGTTATCACCAGTAGTGCATCTGTGGGTCTTCTAGGCTAAATGCATCTTGAGAGTAGAGAATGTCAAAGGAAGTCAGGTTTTTTTAAGATTGTCTTATAATACATCACACCTGACTCAGAATATAGGGCCCAGCACCCAGTCACCAAGTTTTTCTCACAAAGTAATTGGCTAACCAGTTCTTACTAACTAGGTACTATTTTGGTACAGTAATTTTTTATTTTAAAAAGAAGAGAAAAAACAAAGGGAAAAGCAAAACAATACAAATAATACAGGATTTCAAAACATGCTAGGAAATTAACAGTAGTTGTTATAATGCATCATGCTATGTCCAAAGCAGTTGCTGAGATCATGAATTCATTCTCCCAGTAGTACGGCCAGAATCCCAGGTGCCATGTGTGTACATTAGCTTTGTGAAGCAGTCCCCTACTTCAGTTTGATATGACTCCATGAAATTATTGGAAACTTTTACATTTTATAGAAATGTGAGTCCTTCCTAACTCCTAGTCACTATCATCAGATTTAACAATTTAGAAGGTTGCATAATATCTGTAGTTTCTGGTTCATTTCCTTCTATACATTTACAACAGCCTTTCCAGTTTTTAAAGAGAAGTACAACAGTGAATACGTGTTTATTGTACATAGAGGAGAGGGGCAGTGAACTTGCTTTTTCACTTCACAATTGTGTCATTAAAATAAAATAATGGAAATGTCTGCTTGGAAGCCTAGCAGCATGAGCCATGTCATTTGATAATGGTGTCCTTTATGAATATTGGCTGTTATTTAAATTAGTTTTTTATTCCTAGATATGGATGGAAGGCAGGAAGGAAAGAAAGAAAGAAAAGAAAGTTGAGCAAAGGCGCCTGTTCCTATGGCTTAAATCACTTGTCAGAAGTAAAACCCAAAGTAACCTTGAGGGATGAAATAGAACTTCCTGCACGTTCGCATTCCGGCGTGTGCGAAGTTACACCGCTGACCGCATCTGCGCGGTGGCTCTGGCTGCCACAGACGCTCAGGAGTGCCCTGTAGGTTTCCCTGGCCTGCAGAAGCTGCCTGCATGCTATCTGGGTGTCGCACGCCATCGTGACCTACCAGATGTGCATACCACCTTAACAGGAGCAGTTTTGAGACTGTCTAATCCTATTTCTTCCTACTTTGGAATCTTAATTGGAAGAGATAAGGGAAAGAAAAAACATCATTTAACTAAATTATTGTCTTGAATCTGTAGCGAGGTATAATCCGCAATTGGGCCAATTAGTGAAGGCCGCCCTTAGCTCTGGCAGCCAACAGTTTGATGAGGTCTGACGCCGCCCGGTTCCCACTGCTGCGCTGCCAGGTAAGACGGGGACTTCAAAGGCCGGAGGCATCCGCAGGGCAGGGTTTGCAGGCCAGCTTAAGGCTGGCTGCTAATCTCCCTGTAAAACCACAGCGGCTCTCACACAAAACCAGCTTACAGGACACAATCATGTGGTATTAAAGGTAGAGTTGGGTCATGCCAATTGGCCTTTGATTTTTTGATGATTGACCAAAGATGGCTACATGACTAGACACATGCTGAAAGTGTACTGATTAGGTAATTTCCCAAAATATTTGGAATATTTTCTAACTTCCTAAATAAATGTTGTGAAAGCATATTCCGTTGAGTTCAGTCTCCCAGAGGAATAGTGCTACTCTAGGGAACAGTGCCTTTCTCCCTGGCTGCCTGGCTACCGAGGTTCTCACTTCGTGCTTCTCATGGGCCTGTCTTTGCATTAATAGTTCCATAAGTGGATGGAAAAGGAAATTGCGACTAAGTGGCACCCTGTTTAGAAGTCTACTTAGTGCGTTAGAGAAGAGACATTTCCTCTGAGTCATTTACATTCAGTGACAATCTTTCTGGAATGCCTTTGTAATTGTCTTACACTTACGTGCTGCGTGGAGTTGTGTGCAGTGCCCTCGTGGGGTGTGAGTGCCCTCATGGGGTGTGAGTGCCCTCGTGGGGTGTGAGTGCCCACGTGGGGTGTGAGTGCCCTCGTGGGGTGTGAGTGCCCTCGTGGGGTGTGAGTGCCCTCGTGCTCCAAGGCGAGGCCTG